AATATCCACTATATCTTGAGCAAAAATTTTGCAAACTATCCAAAGGGCCCCGAATTCAGAAAAATATTTGATATTCTGGGAGATGGGATTTTCAATGCTGATTCTGAACTGTGGGAATTTCACAGGAGAACAACTTTGTCAATCATGAGTAATGCCAAGTTCAATATTTTCTTGGAGAGGGCTGTTTGGTACAAGGTCGAAAATGGACTTATACCCGTGCTCGACTATTTCGTTGAACGAGGAGTGGAGGTCGATTTGCAAGACATTTTGCAGAGGTTCACCTTTGATAGTATCTGTAAATTGGTACTGAATTATGATCCTAGGAGTTTGTCTATTGATTTACCTTATATTCCATGTGAGAAGGCGTTCAATGATGCTGTGGAAGCCTTGTTGCACAGGCACATTTTGCCAGAAAGCATTTGGAAGCTGCAAAAGTGGCTGGGAATTGGAAAAGAAAAGAAGCTCATAAGAGCTTGGGAAGCTTTTGATAAATTTGTATATCCGTGTGTTTCAAACGAAAAAGTAATCGAAGAACAAGACTACGATTTTAATTTCTTAACAGCCTTTAGAAAGGCATGTAAAGAAAAAAATGTTGCTCCTGGTGATTCAATAGACTTTCTAAGGGACACCTTTTTGAATTTGATGTTAGCAGGCAGAGACACCACAAGCACTTCTCTTACTTGGCTACTCTGGCTCGTTTCGACTAACTCGTCCGCAGAATCCAAGATACTAGAAGAAATCGAGACGAAATTGCACGCCACGAAGGATAAGAAATGGAGATTTTTCAATGTAGAGGAGTCGCGTAAATTAGTCTACCTCCACGGGGCTATATGCGAGTCTCTAAGGCTGTTCCCTCCTGTGGCTTTTGAACACAAAGCTCCAATTCAACAAGATACTATCCCAAGTGGTCACCGCATTAATCAAAACAAAAAGCTGCTGCTCTCTTTCTATTCAATGGGAAGAATGGAAAAGATTTGGGGAAAGGATTGCTTAGAATTCAAGCCCGAGAGATGGATTTCCGATGAAAGAGGAGGAATCAAGCACGAACCATCGTTCAAGTTCCCAGCATTTAATGCCGGACCAAGAACCTGTCTAGGAAAAGACATGTCTTTCATCCAGATGAAAATGGTTGCAGCTACAATTATCTATAACTACCATATTCAAGTGGTGGAAAATCATCCAGTTTCTCCTAATGATTCTATTATAATTCAAATGAAACATGGTCTCAAGGTCAGTTTATTCAAAAGAAGAAATATATGATGCATCAGATATTACAGAGGAATGTTTCAGAACGATTTAGGGTGTGATTTATTGTCCATGTAACTTCGATTTGTAGCAACTATATGTATAATAATTTGTGAACCAGTGAAGATAAATATTCTGTTCTCAAGTTAATTGAGGGTGTCATTACATCTTTCACAAATAAGCGAGTGCAGGTACTACCGACCATTCTGGAATTACACTTTACAAATACTGTTTAGTATTATTATTCTATAATTGTTTTACGTACACATCGTATTCGAAGAACATGAGTCATTGAAGTGTGAGTAGAGCTCTAATGCGCAACTCAAACATCACCTTGTAACTCTATAAATCTTGATAGTGCTAAAAAATATCAACCTATGATTCTTCTCGCCAGCAAAGTTCCATCTTGATAGACTATATGCAGACAACCTCATTCACACGTGTTATTGACCAAATGTAATGTGACCACGTGGAAGTCCCATGTGCTTACACATGGCACTCAACGGTTTTATAAAGAAAAGGTTTTTGAAGTGCTCCGGAATGGTCCTCTCTAATATCCGAGGTCCCTCAACTGAAGCTCCCTCAAGTGGTCTTTTTTACGTCAAGTTGAAGTAATTTTCTCCTTCTGTCAAACCCCTTCACACCCGAGGTCCTTGACTCTCATAAGTGGGTCTGATAAATGTATCTTTAGGACTGATTGATGTGACGTCCTCATTAAATAGATATCATGAATGTAAGAGTATAGGGCGATTGATCCCTTGTCAAACGTCTGTCAATATAATTAATGTAAGATCGGATGATGCGAAACCAGGATCTAGCAAATCAAGCCACGTAGATCTAATTCAACGGTGACAACATCGGCCTGATCACTATAAATAGCGTTCTTTGAAACATTTTAAAGAGATGAATCTCTAGATGTATAAAAGAGCATGGTCTATTTCTCTCTACATAAATTTACTCATTGTTCCGTATTGTCCTCTTTTAAAAGCATTTATCTTGCTTATTTACTTAAGTATATTTGATCAATAATGGAACATGTGTTTAAGCTCAAATTCAACGTGCTAAGGAGTACGTCTACGTGTACATCATCGTGAACGACACCTGTTGACACGTTTTTTGAAGGTTAACGTGTATACTTAAAGTTTGGTCCCACCTCCTAATCAATTCATGGCCGTCATTTTTAAATTGACTTCAGACGAAAAAATACATGATGTCCGAGGCTTGTTTGTTTATCTAGTCGAGTATGGGCGCTCGATCGCTAAGGAAAGTCTTGAATTTTGAAAGAATTGTTTGATTGCATTATTTTTTTTGTTTATGTGGATCCCTTTCTTTCTTGTTTCTTGGGATACGAACAAATTCCACACACCCCCCCCCCCCCCCCCCCCGGGTCAGTTAGGTGACAATCTCCTCAGTATCCAAATCAATCTAAAATTGATTGATGTCCACTGAATTAAACCCATTCAATCCCTATTTAGCCTTACTTGGGTCAAAATTCGACAAATGTAAATAGCTCTTAATTTGTGCACTCTCAAGTCTTCGCCTCTTTTTGGTCTTTCTTAAAATTTTAATAAAGATTTAAGGTAAAGTACAATTAAAAAAGAGTAGAACGAAATATATATGAAGTGAATTATGTCGAAGCAAATCTCTTTAAGACAAATTTCACCCCCTTGCACTAGTATCAAATGATCATTGAACGTCCATATTCAAGATATATCACTTCTTCCAAAGTTGGTATTGCACTATACCATTCCGTCGGTCAAACCAAATTACTGATAGTATTTTTCTCGAATGAAAAAAACTCAAACTAAAATTTCTTAGAAGAAATTTTATTTTTTGAAAAATAATTCGAACGGAATTTTTATTTCAACAAAACAAAATGAATAGAATTTCTCAAGAGATGAGAGAATTAGAAATCAGTAGCTAACTTAAATTGGTTTCGTGTAGAAACTAATGGAATAGATTATAGAATTTCAAGTATTTATTGTGAATGGGTGCACCACGGCCACCACCATTCGGTTCGATCAATCTGAGCTCTTGTATTTAATTTTTTTTTTCCCTTTTTGGGGTTTTCGAAGTTTCTATTCGTTTTCTAGATTGAAATTATAAATCGTATGCATTCCTCTGCGATGGTCCATGAAGCTTCACTGAGTCACATATCTATAACAAAATTATACATATCCAGTTTTAGCAAAGTAATCGATATATTTTATTTTAAAATTTTATTGAAGTCGATGGTCAATGGTCGCCCATGCTCACTCAAGATCTTGGATCCACAACTGTCTGTCGATTTCATTTGTAAGAGCATCTCTAAGAGGTTATTTAAAAATAAGATGCTTTCTATTATAAAAAGTCACCCTTTAATATTATATTCCAAAATCCAAAAGACTATTTTGGAGAGCTAAACTCACCCTTTATATTTAAATACATTTAAAGTATTTCAATATTTAATGGTAGAAAATAATATAACAATTTGGAGAGAAACTAGTGAAAATAAAATATAGAAAAAGACATTATATATTTTTTGGAGTGATAAAATTGTGTTAAAAATAAATAGTCTATTGGAATATATAAAATTTTTTACTATCCAAATTTATAGTTAAATAAAAAAAATATTTTTTTTATCTAGAGTTCTATTTTTGAAAAATGTCGGAGTTTCATGTAAAATAATTTTTCTTTTGTCTACCAATAACCCACTTACGTCTACGCCCATACCCTTCCCTACCCTTCACTACTACTACCACTACAAAAATAATCAAAACTATTAAAAAATGAAAGAAAAAAGAATTAAAAATGGCAAAATAATAATAATAATAATAATAATAATAATAATAATAATAATAATAATAA